GTATATATTTTTTAGTTAAGTTTAGTATACTTTACTTTTTTTTTACTATTGATTTAATTAACGTTATTCAATTTTTTTTCAGACTATGTGTACTTGGGAGTCGAGGTGCAATTTGGTCATTGGGACCACATTTGAGAGGAAGGCATCCGCCAGACTGTCTAGCTGGCTAAAGAGCGTTCGGGATAGTGGTGAACGTCCCAGTTGGATGTTGCCTCATGTTTTTGCTGAATTGGGTCAGTATTGGAAAACAGACAAGTTTAAGGCAATATCAGATCAAGCTAAAATGGCTAGAGAAAGTCTTAAAGGTGGCTCGTTGCACACCGGAGGTGCAAAGACGGTTGGAACAATTGCACGAGAGATGATAAGTTTTAATTCAAACTTTTAAATAAATAATTAGTTGATACATATATATCGTTAGAAATTTCAGTTTTTATTTATAGGTAAAAGAATTGGGACTCACTCCCATTGAACCAGAGGTTTTCAAGAAAACTCATGTCAGGAAGAAAGAAAATGAGTCGAATCCGGATGTGTGGGTGGAGGAAAGGGCCGAATGAACTTTGTAAGTTATTTAATATGAATAATATAAATCAATAGTGAATATATTTATGATATGTATATATATTGATGTCTATTTTTATATTTAATATGCCAAATGACTTTCATAAGTACGTCGCTGAGAATCTAGATAGTTCGGTCCAATTGACACCTGAACTGTCCACTCAGATTTGGAAAGAAAAAATGGTAGGGGGACACACAAGGGGTAGATGCTATGGTCTAGGCTCTCGCAACGATGTTAGATGCCTTCAGTCAGGCTTAGAAGGTATTGGATCGTCACGTCAAGCCGAGGCACTTAACGGTGTTCAGATTGCTACTATGTCGGATCAAATAACTAAACTTACAGCGGCACTAGCAGAGTCAGAGCGGAAAGAGTAGCTGAACAAGAAAGCATGAGTGAGACCGTTCAGCAAATCAAAGAACAAGTGATGAACCTCGCTCGTCGACCTACTACTTCGGCTCCCGATGACACCGACGACGAGTAGTGATGAGGATGATTATGTAGATCTCACTCCCTAGTTTAGATCTCTGGACATTTATGAACTTTTTGAAATTTTGAAACGAATTTTAAAAGACTTTATAAGTATTTAATTTATGATTTAGATACTTTTGAATGTTATTTTATGTTTTGTTTAGATTGTTTATAATTGTGTGTGTTTGATTGGGCTGAATAGTGTAGAATTGAATTGAATTGCATTTGCAGGTGGGTAGCAAAAGCTGCGAACTGCTACTGTCAAATATATTGCAGAAAAAGCGACGGACAGTGTGGTTTAGTCTGTCGCTTTTCTGGGTTTTAATTTTTTTTAAAACCCAGAAAAGCAACGGACAGCGTGGTTTAGTCCGTCGCTTTTATGGGATTTTCAAAAATAAAATTTCCACAAAAGAAATGGACTACGTCGCCTTTTAGAATTAAAAAAAATAAAAATAAAAATAAAACGACGGAGTCCATCGCTTTTGTTAAAAAATTAAAAATAACAAAAAAAAGTAAAAAAGAGACGCAGTTCGTCGCTTTTTGAAATGCGATGCAATCCGTCGCTTTAATAAAAGCGACGCTGTCCGTCACTCTTTAGCGACGCAGTCCATCGCTTTTTAAAAGCGACGGAGGTGACTGCATCATTTTTCCATCGATTTTGACCAAAATAGCGACACAGTCCGTCGCTTTTGGCCGTCGTTTTTTGACAATTTTTTAGTAGTGTCTGAGGTACTGTGAAAGACAAGGTTATCAATACGCTAACATAATTTTAGAGATTGATTCGTTAAGTCTTCAAAATATGATTCAGAAGGAGTGGAAAGTACCTTGGGAGCTTATTGAGAAGATAGAGAAGATTCATGAGCTGATGAAATCATTTAATATTCAGATAAGGCACATTTTTAGGGAAGCTAATCAATTAGCTGATTTCATCACAACTACAGCCATAGATCAAGAGCAAGAAGGCAAACTACAGTATCAGCATTTTAATCAACTACCAGGCAGAGCAAAAGGGATATTAAACATGGATAAACAACAAATACCAACAATCAAAATAAAGACGAGGAAAATAAAGAGAATCAGTCGTCCGTAACATGGAAAGCATAGAAAAGCCACAAAGTCACATAGCTACCATATACAATACAATTTGTGGCTATATGAAAAATGAACTAGCAGTGCAAGTCTTATTTACAAGAGTGTATAGCGAGAAGATCGGCAGAAAGCTACTCACGACAACAATTCCTCTTTTCTCCTTGCTTCAATTGAGAAATTGAATGTCACATAAAAGAATAGAGGAAAGGAATAGAGTGGGAATAAAAGAGATACTTACATGAAGCTTCGAAGCATGGTCGGACTTTCTCATGAGTATCCCCAGCTCAAAAATTGCTACCGGATGGTACATCTAGAAAATAGTTGCAGTGGCAGAGAAACAAAACGGAAGATGAAGGATGAGCTCCAGCACTTATTAGGACACCCTATAATCTAGTGTCTTAATGTATTGTTTGAACCCAACTAGTGGGCTTGATTTTATCTTGTTTTTATTTGTTTTTGGTTTTGGTTTTGAAGACTACATGGACTCACTTTGAGTCCATCAGATTATTTCAATAAAATCGGACCAAGGGTCCAAATTTACTTTTAAAAAAACAAAAAAGAGGTCTAGAGAGAGAAAGGTGTACACAGACCTTATCCTTACCTTGTGGATAGAGAAAATGTTTCTAATAGACCATTGACTCAAAAATAATGTTATCGAAGTAGGATTGCGCATATATAACATATAGAAAAAAAATAACAATATTAATTGAATAATTTAATATAACATGTCACTTTGAACGAGGTGACAACCCAACGTGTCTCTTTAAAGGCTGACAACCCAACTTAAACTTTAACGTGTCACTTAGAGGGAGGTGATAACCCAACATGTCTCTTTAAATGCGGACGACCTAACTTGAAGGTAATATGTCACTTAAAGGGAGGTGACAACCCAACGTGTCTATTGAAAGGCAGGCGACCCAATTTGGACTTAACATGCCACTTGAAGGGAGGTGACAACCCAACGTGTCTATTGAAAGATAGACGACCCAATTTGAACTTAACATGTCACTTTGAACGAGGTGACAACGTAACCCAACGTGTCTCTTTGAAAGGCGGACGACCCAATTTTGAACTTAACATGTCACTTTGAATGAGAAGACAATCTAACGTGTCTCTTTGAAAGGCGGACGACCCAATTTGAACTTAACGTGTCACTTGAAGGGAGGCGACAAGCCAACGCGTCCTTTGAAAGGCAAGCGACCCAATCCTAAGCTTAACGTGCTATTTGAAGGGAGATGTCAACCCAATCTTGAACTTAATATGTCACTTGAAGTGATGTGACAACCTATCATGTCTCTTTGAAAGGCGAACGACTCAATTTGAATATAACATGTCACTTTGAACGAGGTAACAGCCCAACGCATCTCTTTGAAAGGCGGACGACCCAATTTGAATGAGGCCTTCAATTTTAATTTATTTTTTCCAATGAAGTGTATTATAGTCAATTTGTTTAGTCTTTCTTACGACATAGTATTCTAAATTAGTAAAGCCTCTAATAATTCATTCCTCTTATACAAAAAGTCTATCTTTTTCTTACAAATAATACTCAATATTTTAAAAAATAGATTTAAAACATATAAGGTGCGTCGAGGATAACAAATTGATGACTCTGAGCTTTTACCAACGGAGTGCTTTGGCACCTATTTCTTGAAAAATAAATAAATATGAAGCCCCTCAAATTAGGAGATTTAAGGCAAATGACTAATGAGGTTTGGGTTGGGCCGTTAATGTTGAAGCAAATCATGTGCATAAGGATCATTAACACATAATTAGTAACTTTGACTTTAGTAGAAATAGAATAGGGAAAATTGTATATAATAACAAACTATTAATTCAAATTAAATGCTATAGCTATAATTTACTTTATTTCCAATTCGCAACTACTGTTTCATATAATTTGCTATAGCAATTAGGGGTGTGCATTCGGTTTTTCGGTTTTTGATTTTGTGAAAGTGTAACCCAATCCGATCCAAAATAAATTTGGTTTGGTTTGGTTTTCCCCTATTCGGTTCGGTTTTTTCGGTTTGGTTATTCGGTTATGTCAATAATTATTAACATAACCAAAGTAATAATATTTAATCCCTTAAATATACTTTCTAATATAAAAAAATGTAAAACTTAAAACACAGTACTTATAAGTATACCTATTATAGATGTAATTCAAACATAAAATATAAACGTAATCATCATGAAAGGCAATAACCAAAAAGGGACAAAAGTGGTTGACTCCAACTTAATTTTGAACCTAAAAATTATATATATATATATATATATATTTGGGTTTTTTCGATTTTTCGGTTTTTATTTTTTAAAACCCAAACCCAAACCAAAAAACCAATCCAAATAAAAATTCGGTTTGATTATTCGGTTTAATCCGAATAGTGCACACCCCTAATAGCAATTTCTTCGAGCGAAAGGACAAGAAAATGGCTGCTTCTTCGGTTGCTGTTACAAAACTGGCGGGATTCAGAAATACAGTACACAAGAAAATGACGTCTGCTTCAGACATATAGTTATACATAAAAAAAGAAAATTTATTTTTTTTCGTGAATTTTCAAATACATATACAGATTCAACTAATACAAATTTTTATTTATATACATATTATCCCCTACTAGTTCTCTTTTGCCTTTCTCTATTTGTCGCTTTATACAAAAACAAATTATACAAATTACAATGTATAATTTGTGTTGTATAAAGCGAGAGAGAGAGAGAGATTTGATATACAAACATTTTATTTTGATTCAATTGTATACAAATTCAAATTTTATGCAGATATACAAACACATAAAATTGAATTGAGAGGCTATCAGCGATTTATACAAACGAGAGGACAACGATTTATACAAACGGCTGCCAACGAAATTATACAAATCTGAAGAGGGGCCAGTGAGTTATACAATCTGATGCTCCATAGCAAACATAAAGTTTGTTATGGAGCGCAATTATACAAACTATAGCTATAACATATAAATTTGATTTTTATGTTTGCTTGTGAAAGTTGCTGATAGAATAAGTGACAATTTTCATGTGCATTCATATGCTAAATAATTTTTTATATATAATTTGTTAAATAATCAATATGAATTATTAGATATAGGAATTAGATAAATATTTTTTTATTGACATATATTAAAAAGAGAAAACAAAAAAATATATATATTACTTATTTATGGCGTGACTTTACGGGAAAAAAATATTTATTTTTCTCATTTTTTGCCTTTTCCTCTTATTTTCTTATTATTTTTAAAAAGAAGTTTGTTTCCTTC